GTCCAGGTGCCGCCCCAAGCACAAGCTTGGTGGGCTGGTGCCTGGAGCCGGCCCTGCTCCAGTGCCACTTTCCCAGTGGCTGGTAGGGGAACCTGAGCCCACCCATTACTCCAAATTCCATCCCAGGGACCCTGTGACCAGCAACCTCAGTCTGCCCAATCTGACCTGTTGCTTTTTCCCTGGACTCTTTCCTGCCACACCTCTCTCTTGCCTGTCTCTGAGTTTACCACCAGAGCTTCCATCACTCCCTATAGCTGCTTCATCCCTCTAGGCCACTTGTAAGACTCTCAAGTCCAGGGCAGGAGCCCAGGACTTGATCTCCTCCTTTTTCCTGGCCAATTCCCTTTTCCTCTAGGGAGTGCTATAGACGCTTTCCCATGCTCACTTCCTGGCTTTATACTCCCCTTGGATTTCCTCTTCCCAGATGGGCTTCATCTGCCAGGTGGAGCATATAAGGTTAAGGGCCCCTCTTGGCCCACAATAACCCACTCAGGGCTAGTGTGGGGTGGACATCTCATCACAAGGATGGGTGATCTGGTCCCTAATTCGATTATATTTAACAGCTTACTCCTCTGCTGTTACTTAAGGCATTTCAATGTAATTAAGAATGTGGGTCTTTAATATCCTACGGAAATCAAAATGGGGTGAATTGTAGGAGTGAAAAAGAAATACCAGTCATGTCAACTAAAGCTTGAGAACCCTGAAAACTCACTGCCACACTAGGACACTTCAAAAATGCATGTGCCTTCACTGAACCTGCAAAAGCTCGCATTTGCATGTTGATAGGTATTTGTGCATGCAAATAGGCTAACGATGATTACTATGGAGAGGTAATGTGGGCTAATGGGTAGAACACTGGACTGGGAGTCTATTCCCAGCTCTGCCACTGGGCAGCTGGGGTGACCTTGGCCAAGTCATCACACCTCTGTGCCTCAGTTTCCCTTTCTTTAAAATGGAGATAATGATATTGATCTCCTTGTGTAAAGTGTTGTGAGATGAAGAGCACTATATAAGAGTTAGGGATTAGTACTATTATTTATTGTTATTACTGTTTTGCATTTGCAAATATGGGTCTTTTGTGTCTAATGCATGATCATTCTTGGGGGCACACTCATGTCCTGTGTTTAAACATTTGTCCCCTAAATAAATCAAGGGATCTAGTGGCTATTGTGACACACTTGTGCAAATATGCAGCACAGGCTCTAGCAAATATTTATTTCTTTAGAAATTGTAACAAAACTCTGAAAAATGCCCCAGTCTCCTGTACAATCTTGTAAATCACACTGTAAAGATGCAATACCTTTTAACTGCAGCAATAAACCTCTGAGCAAGCTGATCTTTTTTTAAAAAACCTACAATATTCCTACTCTGCTTGACAAATCAAATGCAGATCAGTTTGAAATTTCCAACTTTGTGAAATACAGATATATTCAGGGATGGTTGAATTTCTCCAACAGTTGTAGTAAATATCTGTTCTTAGCAAATTATTCCCTTCAGTTTTTATACTTTACTGAAACCTGTTCTGAGTTTTATAGAAAGCGTGACTTAAACTTTCATTCTTCACGTGAAGAATGACTTTTGGAACTCAGGGTTTTGACTGATCTGCTGACTGTTTGCTGTTGGCATTCTGATGATTTTGCAAGTGGTATGAAAAATGAGGATTGAGCTTAGGCCCTTCTATGCTAAGGCCCTGATAAAGCAAAGCACTTAAGAATCTGCTTAACTTTAAGCATGTGAGCAGATCTACTTAATCCTCAGTGGGACCACTCACATGGTTATAGGTGTGTACTGATTTGGGGCCTAAGACCTTTGTCTGGCACATAAAGCAAATACATTAATATCTTATGTGGACCAGAAACTAGAAGGAGACAAACACTCACATCTCCTACTGTGGATTCCATAAGTCTTGGACACGTATTCTTCACTTTTCAGTTGTCTAATCCGTTCACACTGTGGTATCCTTCCCCCCACACACACCTTTTCTGCTCCCATTCCATCCTTTCGCCCTCTCTTATTCCTCACTCCTCCTTTTCCCTCCCCAGAAAATAATTTGTGAAAATGTTGTAGCCCTTACTAAGACATAACTCCCTTGAAGTCAGAGGGCATTTTGCCTCAGTAGGATTTATCACAGGGAGCGGATCTGTTCAGTAAGAAACTGCTGTTTGTGCACTCTAACTTTTCGTAGAAGTTCCCATTAGCTGTAAGCCTGGCTGCTGGACTGAGCTTTTCAAAGGCAATTAGGATGGTTTGAAGCTTAACTTCTAGATAAAAGGCTAAATCAGGAACTGGCTAAACTAAAAAAGCCCAGATGCTTTGAAGCACTATTATGCACAACAGGAAGTAGGAAAGTAGTACTGGTAAGACACTAGACTGGAGCTCAGGCAATCTAGGTTCAATTCCTGACTCTGCCCCAGTATTCCTGCATGATCTTGTGCAAGTTGCTTAATCTTTATGCCTCAGTTTCCCAGTCATAAAACGAAGGTGTTGATATTTCCTTTCTCCCACTGTTCATTTCTCTTGTCTATTTAAATTGGAAGCTCTTTAGGGCAGAGATTTGTTCTTACTGTGTTTGTGCAGTGCCTTCTGCAGTGGGGCCATAATCTATGGTCTACTATAGTATAAGGGAAAGCGGTGGCGTTTCTCTCTGAAGTTAGACCCGAGATAACTGTTGATGGTCAAACTTCAGAGTAGCCACCAGGTTCCTCACCCAGCCTAGCTACAGTGCATTACAGGCCATGGTGCTGTATGAAGACCTTATTTTCTTCAGGGTAAACCAGGAATTGCTTATACCTCGGTTTTTTTCATTATATTTACAGATCTCAGTGCAGTTCCCTTTTTACCTTGTGGAAACCTCAGTTACCCTATCACTTCTCTGTCCTCATTTCCTCCTTCCTTTGTTTCTTTAGTAGATTTAAAGGGAGTTGCACATGACCAACTTGCAGCAGATGACATGGATGGAGTGATCACGAAGCAGAACAAACAGGTTTGCTCTTCAGCCTTGGCTTCCTATCCTGATTCAGATTCTTCATACATTTCGTTTCCTCTTGACAGTTAGTCTTGACACTGGACTGAACACTTTCTCCTCTTGCTGCTTTCAGTTGCTAGGTCAGGACCCACAGTCCATTGGATGGTAAATGCTAGCAAAATTACAGCGCTCAGAATACGTATTGCTGCTACTGTGCTCTAGAGACACCTGAAATGAATACAGACACTGTCAGTAAATTTTAAAAAAGTGGATGCTATTAATTAAGCTTTGTATCATCAGCAGATTTATATACAAAAATAGAGTTACTGTATGTCCTATGCATTACCCAACAGTATGGTTTTAAAGTTTATGAACTTGGCTTTAAGAAAAAAAAAATTTCCTCTTCCCCCCTTTCCCCCCCCAAAAAAACAAAAATACTTCATATGGGGAATGAAGGGTTTTGTTGTTTCCCTAAATGTTGTGCACAAGCTTGGATGTTTTTGAATCATTTATTTGATTTCATTCAATATGTTATTGCTAACAAATTGTTACAATGAATATAAAGCAATAGGCATGACAATGTGCATCTAATAACAATAAGAATGACTGTCAGGTTTGTATAGAGGCTGTCTGTTGCATCTGTTTCGTTTCACATAAAAAGTGTATCAATAAGGTAAACATGTTAGTAAATGTACAGATGCTGCTTTTTGATCAAATTTGATAAAGGAACTGTCATTTAATACCATCATTTAATACAATGCAACACTGCAGACATTTAATACCATTATTATTTTGCCTTCAAATAGCTTTTAACCAGTTACATATGGACCCGGGTTGATCTAAACCAGTTCTGGATTTTTCTCCAGCAAATATTTTTCCTTTGCTTTTTTTTATAGCTTTTGGATGGTTTTATCGATATGAAGGGAAATTTCCCACAATTCGCAAGGTACAAAGTGTGTAGAGATATAAGTGAAAATTTGCTGTGGGTTTTGCATTTGAAATTACTTCTTTCTCTCCTCTGTATTTTTTTAATAAATTGTACAGCAATGTACATTTATTTCTAAGTGTGGCACTATGTGACCGACTATCTTACTTCATATGGATTCAGTATATTCAAATGCTTTCTCATTTAACATGTGCATGTACAAGCAAGTTTCTTTGGAGTGCAGCTAGAGGGGCTGATCTTTGAAGTACTGAGTGCTCTCAACTCCCACTGATTGCAATGGGAATTGATAGCTAGCCATACCTTTCAGGAGATGCTCAACACATTGGAAGACTGGACCAATGGGATGCTCCCCTTTGCAAATCTTATGCTCCCCATAAGCCTTTGAAATAGTGCTTAAAAGGGAGATTTTCAGAGGCAAAAAATAAATGGGAATTGAGTGCCTAGTTCCCATTTGTGCCTTTGGAAATTTACCAGTAAGTGGGAGCTTACGTGGTGAATAGACCTTTAAACAGAAATGAATTTGACTCATAATGGAAGAAAACAATCAATACATAATTTTAAAATTTGGTAAACAGGGTAGTATATTTTAAGTATCATCTCTAAAGCATGCAGTAGTGTTTCAAATAATATTCTGTTCCTCTTGGTACATTCTTCTTCTTTTCTTTTTCAGTATCTTTTGACACTATTATGAACATTATATTACTGATGTCTACCAGGTTGATGATCAAAACCAATTAGGGACTTAATTGTGGAGCCATCATAGAGCCAGAGCCAGATCCTGCATTGCTTCTACATCAATTCATTTATAGTTTTGGGTGTGCAAGGAAATCCGGATCATAGCCTGGACTTGTCAGCTATATCTACCACAGTCACCATTTAAAAGGTCATCTTTTACTACAAGCCACAATTATTTCTGTATGCATAGGATAGGAAACGTCTGCAACATCTCAGATACCACTTGTTGCTGTTGGCTAACGTTAACATGTCAGTGCTGACCACCATGTGGACTCAGAACTGTATCTCATACTCTAGCCAACATCAGTACAGTTGGTTATATGGCAGAAAAACAAAAGGTGTGCTGTAAAAGTGCAAATTGATTTTACTGCCCAAGTTATTCTGTATAATTATATGCTTTTGCCCCTCTATATGTTTAGAAGTTCTCAAAGCACTTGGAAAATATTAAAGGGCTAATCTACCCACTGTTGAAATCTACGCACACAATAGACTAAAAACTTGAAAAAATATATTTTTAATCTAAACTATTTTTATTTTGTGTGTCTTTAAAATGTTTCAGCCCACACAAAAACAACAAACCAATTTTTGTAAAAGAAATTCACTTCCTATTAAAGATATTTTTAGTACAGAGCAAATTGCAAACAGTGAATTATGAATCCATTAAAAATGATCTATGGAAGGGTTGGCTCAGGCTCTGTAGAGTTTGACTTGAGCTATGGTAGTACGTTCAGCTAAGATTAATGGGAACACATTGCTGTTCTACAGCACCAGTATCATACAGAGAGCTCAGTGTGAGTCTTCATCTACCGTTATAAAATGTTACCATCTATCACATGAACCATGCTATATTTACCATTCTTTGTAAAGAATGAAGTAATGTCCCAGTGAATGGTGTGAAGAGTAACTAGCTCTAAACAAAACATGAAAACCTTTGTAATACAAACTAAACATCATGGCTAAAACACAGGCATTAGAAATTAGGTGTTTGCTGCTACTAAATCATTTTCACGACATAGTCATTTTACCTGTTAAGGTTAATCTTTGCGACAATAGCCAAATTAATTGTGAAGCAAATACAATACAAAATCTCACTGATCGCAGCAATGCCAAGTTCTAATCACTCACACATTAGGGCAGGTCTTTTTTACCAGCAAGAAGAATGCCTGTCTATTTTTTTTAATCCTCCAAATGGTTATTGCCTAGATTAGGGGTGCGAGCTGCTGCATTTCACTCCAGTATCGCAGGGCTGATAAATTAATCCCGTTATGCAGAGAATGATTGTAGCATGCTTGTCACTGTGCCCTGGGTTCCCCAAACCACCGTTAAGAGCTATTGGCTGAAAAGAGGAACAGCTCATGCTTCCTCACTGTACTGTGTCTCCTCTAACAACCAAGCCTGGAGCACAGCCTCTCACTGCACTGGCAGTCTTTAAGAAACCAGCCAGCTCCTCTTCACTGTGCAGCTTTGGGCATGGGGAAACTGGAGTATGCAGGCTATCCTCTTGCACTACTACCTGGCCTCAGGGAACCCAGCGGATGGTCACTAATCAGGGGAGCAGGTTTTCTTTCCCTGACAACTAGAGCACAGACTTCAAAGTCTCTATCCAGAAGTTTCAGAGGCCGTTATTTGCACTGTTTTAAAGCCAAGAATAAATTATCATACATGTAACTCGTATGATTGCTTTGTGCAGTGTTAGCTCATCTTTAAGTGACCAGTGCATGTGAGAACATTTAATCCTGTAGCTCCCATTTGCCATCCCTAAAATTCAGACACACTGCCTCCTTAGTACACTGCACTGATCTAAGCCTTTTCTTTGCAATTGTTTGCTCTGTCTTTCCTAATGCATGTTATGTGGTGCTTTGGATGTGTGATGCAATAAAGGCTTTTTACAGGCTAAAAGGGAAGGGTTCATTCCTACATGTAAATACATGAGTACTTATGTGAAAGCCATCATGAAATTAATGACAAACAGAAGGGTGAGAAATGACGACTTTATGGTAGACTATTTATGAATATCATAACTCTCACTTACAATCCCAGCATACCCACATGCTGAAATTTTATAGAAGAGGAAAGAAGTATTTAACAGTACCAACATTGTATGATCCTTAAGTGATGCATAGGCCTTCTGTTTGCCTTCTGAATAAGAATGAATTTCACCCAATATGATGGGGACTGGTTTTTAGAATTGTTTTAAAAACAACCACCACACTTATGTATACATACAGAAAGTGGCTAATTTTCCAAGACAGGTTTTCCTGTATGTAAAGGCTCAATGGAGCTCAAAGTTTTGCAGTGTTCTAAGCCATTGTAAAGTATACACACTACTATTTTGTGTAATAAAAAAAACCTCCCAGAAAGGGAAAGAGAGAAAGAAGTTGAAGAGTGACAGTCTGTGTGAACAGAAAAAGTGTAAAAAGGAACTGGAGTTTGAGCAAAAACTTGCCAAAGAAAAAGAAGGGATGTTGGAAAAAGAAAAACAGCTGAAAATCAACCGGCTTGTACAAGAGGTATGTTGTGATAAGTGTTGGACTATATTTCTTTATAATTTTATTATTTCCTTCTATTTTATCCTGCTTTCCTTCTGCAGGCAAAACTCTTTGACTCTCATGGGTGTCTAGGACCCAATTCAGCAAGGTATTTGAGCATGTGTCTAACTCAAAACGTGTGTAGTCTTATTGACTTAAAAGGTACCTTATGGTACTTAAGGTACCTTGCTGAGGTGGGCCGTTGCCTAGTCTGCAGATGTGGGTTATTTAAAATAACAAATTACGGATCTCGTTCAGTATACCTGGCAACAAGTGAAGAATACTAAGCTTATGTTGAGATCAGTGCCCACCTTTTTCCTTTTCTTAGCTTGCTTTTTTGGTAATAAAAATATGAATATCTGTAAAAATGAAAAGCGGGAATTCAGTGCAAGACAAACATATAAAAAAAAGAACTACTAAAAATCAGAAACAATATGACCTGAGCAAATGAAGAAAATGTTTAAATTGAGATAACAAAGCATAGTACTATGTTGGATGTAAAATTAAAGGAAGGACTGAGTTCTTTTCAAACAAGGCATGCACTTAAAAATAGAGAGGAGAAATTATAACAAACTGCAATAAAAGGAAATGGGAGGAAAGTAGCATATGGTGTGGGATTTTGGGGATTTTGTAGAAAGTTTATTAAATCTTTGCATGTCAGAAAGACAGTGGCCCAAATTATCTGCTAGTATAACACTATTGGTTTCCGTGGAGAGTTTGTTCCAATGTGTCAGATACTTAAACACAGGATAACAAAATACACTATTCTGTTGCTAACGGATGAGAAACCGTATCCTGAGCTTTCTTAT